GACAGAAAGCGAGAAATCACCCCCCAGGGCAGATGGCCACGCCGCAATCCCTTCTCCTCCATTCTCCTCTCGGGATCTTGAGCATGCATGCACACGTGCCCGGCGTGAGTTTTCAGCCACCGGGTCCGGGACGTGAACCGCAGTCAACTATGTGGGAGTCTAGCGACATAGCCATTACACTAACTGCTGGTCCCTATAAACCCATTTTTTTATACATTGGAAATTTCATCCCTATACACATTATCTTGAGTTTCATCAACTGCAGGTCACTCACTATTGATATACTTCTTTTTTTTTTAAAGAATTATTTAATTTAATTAATTTATTTATTTTAATTTGACGAGAGAGAAAGAGAGAGAGAGAGAGAAAGGGAGAAAGCAAGACGCTAGGTCTGGGACACGAACCACAGTTGACCACGTGGGAGTCCAGTGCCCTTAACCACCATGCCACCTTCTGGCCCCCAATATACTTCTTTTTTAAGATAAAATTTATCTATAGTGAAATGCATAAATTATTAGTGAGTATAACAATTACTTATTGAGAAGTCAGCAGATGGAATAGTGGCTAAGATGCTGAATTCCCACATGGTCATCCACGGTTTGAGTCCTAGACCAGAGACTTGAAACTCAAGGCTGGGTACATGTGTGTGCATGCCCCAAATCCCAAGAGGAGAATGGAAAAGAAAGAATTGCAGCATGACCATCCCCCCTGGGGGGGGGGGAGGTATTTTTTGCTTTCTATCTCTCCATCTCATTCTGTTTCTCTGGTGAGTACATACACTCTATAGCAAAATCTCTCCCAAAAAAGTCACCCATTGAATATAACATTTAATGAATTTTAACAAATGCATATATTTCTGCAACACAACTACAATCAGAAATATTACCATCATTTCAGAAATTTGCTTTATGAATTTCCCCAGTCTTTGCCTCCAAACCCCCAAGCAAACCTCAAATGACAGCCATTTTTTTTTCCTACAAAACACTAGGTTTGCCTGTTCAAAAAGATTCGTATATTGGGTTGTCAAAAAAGTCAGGACTCATTTTTGCATCAAAAAAATGCATCATGATTTTTGGACAACCCAATAAATGAATAATAGGGTATGCACTCTTTTGTGTAAAGTTTCTTATTTGGTATAATGCTTTTTGGTGTCATCTATGTTGTTACATGTATCAGTATTTTTTTTCTTTTAATGTTGATTACTATACCATTGTCTAAATATAGGACAGTTTCGGTATTAATTCTCTCACTGAGGGAAACCTAGTTATTTCTAGCTTTGGCTATTGTGTCAATAGTGTCTATGAACATTCTTATACAGGTCTTCTTAAGGATGTGTACTGCTATTTTTCTCAGGTATTTACCCAGGAGTGTAAATGCAGGATTGTGGGGTAGACCTTGGTTTAAATTTATTAAAAACTACATGTTTCTAAAGTGGTTGTGGATTTACAACAATAATGTGGTAGAATTCAAATTCTTCCACAAACATTTTTAACAGCTACTGTTGTCAATCTATTTAATATCATGCAACTTAATATAAAAGCATAAGAACCTTACAAATACGTAGGTTCATTCATTATGATCCTTCCAAACCATACCTTTGTTATAATTGTCATATGCATTCTGTCTACAAACAATGTTAACCCCACCCAATGCAACTCTGCCATTTTTTGCAGAGGAAGAACTTAAGAGGAAGAAACTCTATTTGTCTTCAAGTTTACTTATACTTTTTCTGTCACCTCCAATCACCTATTAATCTCATGCAGTAGATATTTGCTTTCTAGATAATTGCATTTTTCTACTCTGGAATTTCTATTTGGTAGGTTTTTTTTTTTTGTAGTTTCTCTTTGCTGAGATTTCCTATTTGTGTGTGTGTATATGTGTCCTTTAGCATAGTTTAAAAGCTACTTTAAAATATTCTTTTGCTATTCCAAGATCTGGTTGATTTCAGTGATGGCCTCGATTGATTGATTTGTCTCTTAAGAATGTATTATATTTTGTTTCTTTGTATGTCTAGTATTTTTAAAATTGTATTCTGTATGTTGTGAATGGTGTATTGTAAAAACTCTGGATTCCCTATTGTTCCTCTGAAGAATAGTTATCTGTTTTGTTGTTATTATTATCATTGCATCAGTTGGTTAACTTGATTGGACTCAAAGTCCAAACTCTTGTCTTCCCTGTGGGGTGCAGTAGCTGTCATCTCTATTTACTACTTTAATTTTTTTTTAATTGTTGGAAGGTGTGTATGCACATGAGAGAGAGAGAGAGAGAAAGAGAGAGAGAAAGGGAGAAAGCACCCCACAATGAGGTGTGTTCTTTCCCCTCCATTTTTTTTTATTCTCTCATGATTTGGAATATGCATGCACTTGTGCCTGGAGTGTTTTTCAAGCCACCAGGGCTGGAATTCGAATTGCAGTCAGCCGTGTGGATCTGGATTCATCAACTACAAGGCAACATGGCTGGCACCTGTTCAGTTTTTGTTTGTTTTGTCATAGGATGTGTGTACTCAACAGAAAAAAGATAGAGAGGGAAAGTGAGAAATCATACACCACAGAGGTTGCCACACCATGATTCCTTCTCCATTCTCCTTTTGGGCATGGACACACATGTGCCCAGTGTGATTTTTAAGCTGCTGGATCCAAGGCTCAAACTGTAGTCTCCCATGTGGAAATCCAGCACCTTAACCACCATACCACCTACTGGTCTCCCCTATTTATGTCGTTTAGCTCCAGCTGGTATATTTGGAGTCTGCCTAGGTCATGTGCAGGTCTGGACTCAGTGAGCAATTGGGGAGATTTTTAATCCACAGATTTTGAGGCTCTCTGTCCATGGTTCTTTCTGTTATAAGGTCCTTATTTCTGATATCTGGTTCTTCATGCCAGAAAAACTGTGGGCTTCTATTTGAGTTTTAGCCACCTGACAAAGTTGTCCGTGGCTCAACCAGGGTCTTTTCCTTGGTATAAACATACATATTTCTGGCTAACCAGTTCTTTGGTGCTTTTCAGGTATTTGATATTTTTTAAAAAATATTTTGTACAGAATTTATAGCTGTTATCTGTGGGAGTTGTACTCCAGTAGGAGCTATTCCACGTTTGATTAAAAGTAGAACCTCCGTGAGTAGGGTTTAAATGCTCTGTCTTTTAAAATCAGAATATGGGCTTTAGAGAGTGCAAAAAATCAAAATCATGCCAACACATGTGAACATACTACTTTATTTAGCAAATAAATATGGCATAAACACACCAAAATAAAAACAGTGATAATTTGGTGAACTTTCTGAATGTTTGCTATATTCTAGAAGAATTTCTATTTCTCACATAACCTAGGCTTAGCCTTTTTCTAGATTGTCTATAAGTCAAATAGGTATATTTTAAAACAGAATACTTTATTCCATGTCTCTAATAAAATATATAATATGCAAAAAAAATTGCTTGTTTTTTCTTTTTGTTCTTCATTACCATAAATCCAGCTAAATACATTTAGTCTAGTTTCTATTAAAAACAAATGCCAATCATACTTATATGGATAATGATCATCAGATTTTATGTCATTAGCATTACAGGACCACAAATTGAATTTTGAAGCTGTAAGTCAATGCTCTGAAAAGGTTCATCTGCTATTTGTAGATCATTTACACTTCTATGTTTATATAATCTTAACCAAGAAACCCATACTGAATATGGCAATACATATTGCTCTGCTGCTTTTGAATGGGAATAAATAGGTACAGTCTAATAGAGTCAATATATGATGAAAATGGGCTGTGATCAATAATAGGACATGCTGGGAACCAGCAGTTAGCGTAATGGCTATGTCGCTGGACTCCCACATAGTCGACCGTGGTTCGTGTCCCGGACCCGGTGGCTTAAAACTCACGCCGGGCGCATGTGCGTGCGTGCCCAAGATCCCGAGAGGAGAATGGAGGAGAAGGGATTGCGGCTGACCATCCCCCCTGGGGGGTGATTTCTCGCTTTCTGTCTCTATGTCTCTCTCTGTCTGTCTGGCGAGCGCACGCGCCCTACAGTGAAAATCTCTCTCAAAAAAAAAAAAACAATAATAGGACATGCTGAAGTTTCAATAAAAGCTCAGATATTGACTGACTCTTCAAATTGGCCGTTAGCAACTAATTGGGGGCTTTCCCTGACCAAATATACTTTACTGATTTTTTCAGTAAATAGCAAGAGAGTTGATAGAATTTCATAAAGCAGTAATTCCTTGATCACAAGGCAGGGCAATTAAATTTTGAAAAGGTTAATTTTGAGCACATGATCAATAAGTGTAACAGAAACAAATCAATGGAAAGAACTAAAAAGCACTAAATGTAAATTTTATTAATATCTTCAGCTTTATGGGTAGGAAACTCTATGAAGCAACAATGGAGTGGTGACGAAGCTACTTTTTATTAAATATGTAAATTGATACATTTTGCTGAGGATCAGATTTGGGCTTGTTTTTCATGCCTTGACAAAAATAAGTCTTTTGAGTTTTTAAAGGTGTGAGTTCAAATTTTATTTATTAAACTCACAAATTCATAACTTTGCACATATTGTTCATTTTCTCTGAGCTGCACATTCTTCTTAGAATTAATAAAACTTACACAATGGGATTACTAGGGGATTAAATAATATGGAAACATGAAATAGTCTCTGAATCAATGTTCATTTTATACCTGGAATCCTTTTATCACTATATCATTTTGTGTGCATTTTATTTATTTAATTCTGTGAGGAAATTGGGATGCAATCCAATTCTATGTTCTCTGAAGATACAATATATAATAATATAATTTGCCAGCTATCTCGCCAAAAAAAAAAAAAAAAGGCCCGACTACTCAGGCCTGAGAAAATACAGGTTTGGTCAGCTCAAATCTGGTGCTCTAGGCCACACCAAAGCAGGACATGGGGAGTCTTAACCAACCTTTCAAAACAGAACCCCTGGTCACAGTCCGGGTCCGGGCTAGTCATGGGTGAGGGAGGAGACAGTATCGCAGAGCAAAACTGACAATGTCCTGGAGAAGTTTTACAGATGCCGCCCACGGGTTGAGACGGCTTTTGTGTAAGTAAGCTGCCTTTCTTTGAAGGAACTAGAGGCGCTTGACTACTTCAACTTACCCGCTAGGCCCGCAAGATAACAGGTAGGATTTTGTCCTCCTGAAAACTGAATACCCAGTGTCTCTCTTTCTGCCTCCCATGTAGTTTTCTGAACCATAAATTAAATTTATAAAGATGAGAGAAAAAAAATCCACTTAAACAAATTAGTAAGTGACCAATAGGCAGTGATTTGTAATGATATATAATGGTTCTATAAAACACTACATAAGTCGTGTGTCATCTATAGCTATATTAATTTCTGTATCTACCCAATCACTCAGTCGCATGTGTTAGAACAAGTACAAATTCATGTACTCTGAAGGTTACTAAATGTGCAAATATGCTTTCTAGAGAAAGTCCTTACTCAGATGCTCTGCCCTCTTGTGTGTGCTTGTTTTATTTTAATTCATTTTTATTATTTTTTTTGTTCTTCTTCCCTTTCTCTACCAGATAAACTATTATTCCTTCAAGATTCAGCTATATGTCACTTCCTACAATAAAATGATCTCTTCATTTCCAAATCTTTAAGATCTGGCATCGTATGTACTGAGACATAATGATGAAAAAATAATCAACTAGTTAAATGCAAAACAGTGATGAATTTCAGAAGAGAATGATATATGTAGACAACCCATATTTACTGCATAATATGTCATTTACTAACCTAGAGAATAAAATGTGTAAGACAGAGAGAGGATGCCCTGGAGGCCATCTAATTATTTTTAAATTTGTAACCTGACAAACTTCACAAAATTGTTAGAAATGTTTCCAGTAAGCCTTGTGTAGATAGAAAAGATAAAAATAAAAAGATAATAGCTGTTGTATAGTACTTTACCTTTAATAAAACACTCCACATTTTTTTGTGACATAAATAATAGTGGTTTGGGAACCAGCAGTTAGCGTAATGGCTATGTCGCTGGACTCCCACGTAGTCGACCGCGGTTCGCGTCCCGGACCCGGTGGCTTAGAACTCACGCTGGGCGTGTGTGCGTGCGTGCCCAAGATCCCGAGAGGAGAATGGAAGAGAAGGGATTGCGGCGTGGCCATCCCCCCTGGGGGGTGATTTCTCACTTTCTGTCTCTATGTCTCTCTCTGTCTGTCTGGTTAGCACACACGCCCTATAGTGAATCTCTCCAAAAAAAAAAAATTAATAATAAATAATAGTGGTTTTATGACTAACTAGTATCTCTCTGACCAATGATCTTATTAGCTGATCTCACCTTGCATTGAAGGAATGCTTCACTGGGAAGGGGCCAGAAAACTTGGAGATGAGAGAGGGGGAAGATAAATTTATCTGTAATAATGAATGAGACAGTGACTGCAATTGAATAAAATAATAAGTTCTGGGGACCAGCAGTTAGCGTAATGGCTATGTCGCTGGACTCTCATGTAGTCGACCACGGCTCGCTACCCAGATCTGGTGGCTTAAAACTCACGCCAGGCGCATGTGCATACATGCCAAAGATCCCGAGAGGAAAATGGAGGAGAAGGGATTGTGGTGTGGCCATCCCCCCTGGGGGGTGATTTCTCGCTTTCTGTCTCTCTCTGTCTGTCTGACAACCGCACGCACCCTATAGCAAAAATCTCTCTCTCAAAAAAAAAAGTAAGTTCTGAACTCCTGGGCAAACGAGAAAAAACAGAAAGCTTTAAATACCTACCAACTAGAGAAAAGCACAGGGCACGAGGGCTAATTAGGGGAGGGGGGTATTTGAAGGCAGCTGTTTGGGAAATCCTGTAATGAGAATGACAGTGTGGGCTGGTCTTATGAATTCACCTACCTCTGAAATTTGCGAGATTGATTACAATAAAGACTCAATTTTTAAAAAATCGTTTTGAATGATCTGTACTAGTGTTCCTCTTTTTAATTGAAAAAGGAGTTCAATAACTAACTATAAATACAGACCAGTATTATAAAAGCTCTGCTTGACTTTTTTTCTTTCTTGTTTGTTTCAGTGCAATTCTAGGGTCAACAAGAACCACAAATTAGCAGTAGATTTATGTAGGGTTCATAAAATATTGTAGATACCATTCAAAGTAGTGACTTTGTATAGACTTTGGAGCCAAACTGCTTGGGTTCTAATTTGTAGCTTTGTTACTTGTTAGCTGTCATCTTGAGCAAGATACTTAAGACCTCTGTACTTCCTTCATGAAATAGAGGGACAAGTAGCATGTAGTTCATCTGGATGATAATTGCCACAAATTAATGCATGAAGATAAAGAATGTGAAGAGTGTGGGAACAGTACCTGACAGAATAGAGTCTAGTACTCTAGTATAACATAGATTTCAATCATGCTGGCTATTAGTATTTTTACACTCAGATGATGCAGAAGAACAAGTCTACAAACTGTGAATAGTAGACGTGCATGAAACAAAACTGACATTAAGTTATAAAAAGAAATGAAACTGAACTGAGTTTTCAGGGAGAACAAAAGATCTTCCCAGCCCTATGCTGAGATGGGCATCTGAGATTGTATTTCTGCAAGTCAGAAATTGTATTATATCTCAGAAATTCTGGTATATGGTCAGGGACTACTATGAGAACTTATTTCTTGTAAGATATTACTTGTACTGTAGTCTCCCTTTGTCTCTGGGGGATATGTTCCAAGACCCCTATTAGATGCCATAAACTATGGCTAGGATCAAACTCTATACATACTATATTTCTCCCTATACATACATACTTATGATAAACTTCAATATAAACTAGACACAGTAAGAGACTAACAATAAGTGACAATAACATATAATAATGATAATAATTTATGTGAATATGATCTCTCTCTTACTCAGAATACCTTGTACTGCACTGCCATATTTTGGGAGCATGTTGACCATGGATAGCTGAAACAATAAAAAGCAAAACTGTGGATAAAGGAAATTACTATATAATAAGCTGTATAGCACTGAAAGCAGTAAAGAATGATTTCAAAATCTTTCATTATCTTTGTCTTTTCCAGCCTGTATATAAAGGAGTTGTAACAACCATTTGTACTACATGATAAATGGAGCATAAAATGTCCTTGAAAAACATATTATAGATACAGGACCGGTTTATAGCCTAGAGGTTAAGGGAGCTGGATCCCATATGACCAACCATAGTTTGATTCCCAGTCCTGACTTTAAAACATGCTGTATTAGTTTAATGTGCTAAAAAAAATCCATCTTAAGATCCCGAGAGGCGAATGGAGGAGAAGGGATTGCAGCGTGACCATCCCCCCTGAAGGGTGATTTCTCGCTTTCTGTCTCTATGTATCTCTCTGTCTGTCTGGCGAGCGCATGCAACCTATAACGAAAAAAAACCTCAAAAAAAAAATCTATCTTACTAGTGTTTTAAACTATAGGAATTCATTTTTGTTGCTAGCCTACACACCTTTATTTATCTCTTATTTTTTAGGTTTATTTCCTGCTGTCCTGAATCTCGCTTCTAATGCTCTCATCACAACCAATGCAACATGTGGAGAAAGAGGACCTGAAATGTATTGCAAGTTGGTAGAGCATGTCCCTGGGCAGCCTGTGAGGAACCCTCAATGTCGAATCTGCAATCAAAATAGCAGCAATCCATACCGTATGTACTTTTGTATATATTTGAATAGTATTGAATAGAATCTATAATTGAGAAATTTTTGAGATAGTTGCATGAAATTCAAAGGACTTGTGGTCCCAGTAATGCCTTGTACTTTTTTTCCTTATATGAGCCTCTTTAAGGTTTCTCTCTGTCATTCAACAAACATTATTAGAGTTCTTTGCATACACTGGGCATGATGATGGGAGAGGACTCTCTAGCTGAAGACCTGTAGCAGTCACTAGGCTCACTATTTCCAGCATGATATCTGAGGCTATGGTTATTAATTCAGACTCTAGTCATTCACTAGTCATTTATATGCTAGGTACTTTGCTTGCTATCCAAGAGCAATAAAATATGATCATTGTCTCAGCTAATGAGCAAATGGGCCGGAAGTTGGTTATTGCTATGTAGTGTGATAAGAGCAAAGGAAAGAATGAATCCAGGGTCTAAAGAAGAAGATGTGAGACAGGAGAGTCACAAGTTCAGTTTTGGTGTAAGAGAAGACTTTTCAGATAAAGCAATGTTTAAGCTGCTAACCAAGAATAAGTATAGGAAAGAGATGAGGGAAAGGAAGAGAAGAAAGAATATCAGGAAGAAATAAGACCAGAATAATAGAAAACCTTACCTGGTCAAAGAACGACAAGTAGTTAGGAATGACTGTAGATGAGAGCATTAGAGGGCAGAGGTTTTGGATGAAACTGGTGCAGAGACTGAAACTAGATTATGGAAGTTCTTGCAAACTACAGGAAGAGTGCCTTAAGGAAAGCTGCCATACAAAGGCCCTGTGAACCACACTTGCATCCCAGATTCATTCCTGCATTCATTCAACAAGCAGTTGAACATTAGCAACGTGTTGCACTGAAGTACAATGGGAAATCAATCATACAAGTCATTACTTTAGGATACCCAGAGAAGAAGTGGGGGGAAAATAAAATTAATTCAGTGTTAAGGGAATCTGTGGTTTCCATGTAGATGTTAAGGTAATCTGAAGAGTCCTGTAAGAAAGTGACCCAAGTGCTAAGAGTCAGTAAGATTAAAGGAGAAAAAAAGAATTAGATCTTTTTTTTTTTTTTTTTTTTTTTTTTAGAATTAGATCTTGAAGGTATAAAGCAACATAGTATTTTCAGAGGACTGTAAGTAATTTAGCTTAATAAGTAAAAAATTTCTATGGCAGAGGGGAGGATTGTATGAGGTATATATATATATATAAAACACTACAAAAAGTTTGTGCAAACATGAAATTAAAGTATGAGTTTGGTCTGGTTCAAAAATTTGAAATCATTGCATAGCTTTTTTTCTATAATATGCATTTACATGAACTTTTAAAAAATGCTTCAAACATCTCTCTGTCTCTCTCTCACATATGTACACATAAGACAAGGTTAATAACAATACTTAATGTCAATTAAGGTGAGTTATGAGGAAAGGTTTTTATATTTTTTAAAAATTTGTGTAGTTTTCCTTTTTTAAAAAATAAACTCATTAGGGACCAGCAGTTAGTGTAATGGCTATGTCGCTGGACTCCCATGTAGTCGACCGCGGTTTGCGTCCCGGACCCGGTGGCTTAAACTCACGCCAGGTGCGTGTGCGTGCATGCCCAAGATCCCAGGAGGAGAAGGGAGGAGAATGGATTGCGGCATGGCCATCCTACCCCGGGGGGTGATTTCTTGCGTTCTGTCTCTCTGTCTCTGTCTGTCTGGCAAGCGCACACGCCCTATAGCAAAAACCTCTCAAAATAAATAGATAAGTAAATAAATAAACTCATTAATTTATTAAAGTTTCTTTGTTTATTTCCACAGAATGAGAGAGGCATATCTGACAGGGTCTTTTCACCATAAGCCTCCCCTCAGCCCTCTGGACAGCAAGGGTTGAGTGTGTGCTCAGATGTGCTCAGCATGTCGAGGCACACAAGGTCTTTACTCCACACAGCAGGGCTCCTGCTACATGTACCATTGCAGAAAGGTCAATAAATTTTATTTTTAGAGCAGTTTTAGATTCATAGGAAAATTAAGAGGGTACAGAAATTCTCCAACTACCCCTTTCTCTAACACATGCATAGTTTCCTCTGTTATCAATATACTCTTACAGAAAGGTTCATTTGTTAAACATGATGAACCCATATTGACACATCATTATCACCTAAAGTTCATAGTTTACACTAGAGTTCACAGCTGTATAATTTATGGGCTTAAACAAATGTATAATAAAGTGAACCCATTATTACAGTATTATACTATAGTTTAATTGCTCCTTTAAAAAAAAAAAAACTAGAAGTTTCTCCCCATAAAGGGATGCTTTCTCACTTTTTCTCTCTCTTTCTTTGTCTCTTTCCAGTGAATGCACACACCCTCTAGCATTTTTTAAAATGTAAAACTATTAAAATAAAGAAAACTTTGCCTCACAATTTGTATTTTTTTAATCTCAAAAAGAATCGGGAGGCATAATGCACTTTTTCTTAGAGCCAGTACAAGGGAAGGCAGCAGAGTTCTCCATTATTTAATTTAGGGATGCAGAAATATTAGGTCATCGGAAAAGTCATGATGTACTTTTCTATATTAAAGATATTTATTTAATTGAACCTATTATTATTATTTAATTTGCAAGAGGGCATGTGTGTTCACCAGAGAGAGACAGAGAAAGAGGGAAAGTGAGAAAGCAAGTTGCTAGGTCTGGAACCCAAACTGCGTCAGACATTTGGGAGTTTAGCAGCCCAAACCACTATGCCATCTACTGGCCTATCTGTTTTTCTATGCAAATATGCATCATGATTTTCCTGATGACTCAGTATTTATATATTTAGATCATCATATTTTTGTGATTAAAATTGGTGGTCTTGTATATCATGAAATATCAGAAAAAAATGTAAGACATCAAAGAAGAAAATTAAGTTAAAATTGGTTTTCTTAATAGTAACGAGTGAACTCACCATTGAAAGTAGTTAGATTATGTAAGAAATTGTGTGGTCAATACAATGTGGGTGGGAAAAGAATGGAAGACAACTGTAGACACCAGAGATAGTGTGAGAAGAGGGTGGGAAAGGACAGAGGGTCAGAAAGAGGGGTAAAAATAATTCTAGGAACTAGAAATGGAAATTTTTTTATAATATGCATGATTAAGTCACTATGCAGTATATTCTGGATGGGAAATCACATTTTGTATGCTGTGATGATGCTTAGGGA